AGTGATTAATAATCCTTTAGATTCTGCCCATCACATCTGCTTTTACACTAATGCAGCTGTGTTGGTGTTATAATAATAGGTTCTAATCATAACAGTCTATCTAAGAGGTTATTACTATAGCTACATTCCCCTTTAGTCTACTAAAGGTATACTATATATAGCTATAGGGGGGTCTAATAGCTGCCTAGTCTATCTATAGCTTTACTACTAGCTGTCACTACCCTGGGATCCGTCCCTGCTGTTCCTGCTAGTCACTACTTTGGGAAAGATATAGTCCCTAGACTATATCTGATACTTGCCTAAGGCCTACCGACCAGGTAGCCTAGTAATATACTAATGGGGTATAGGTATGCTCAATAGTATAATAATCTGAACAGGATTAAGGATAGTCCAGAGATACACAAGAATAATAATAGTAAAGATAGAAGCAAGGCCTATTAAGTATATATATTTAATAGTAAGAGAGTAACTGATAAATTAGACTAGTGAACTTATACTCAAGTAAATAACTTATATTAAATGTGAGGAACTAAAACTAAGAGTGCTAGATATAATAATAATAAGTATTCTTATATACCCCTAGTTCCTCCAGGTGATAGTTAAGGTAGATGGTAGAGTGGTAGGATGGTAGATATTAATAATACTGACATACCTTCTATTAATCCTACCCATCTACCATTGCCAAGCCATAGCACATGATAGTTAGTCATGTAATGTGGTAGCTGTATTTAGCATTCTTTTAGCAAATACAAATTGTCCTCCATAACAACTGGTCATTACCAGAGATCAGTCATGTGGGTGACTGGTGGGTGGTGGTTACCTATATAGTATAGTAGTATATAACTAAACTATTTTTCTGCAAGGAGAAATCCATCTAGATTAGGTATTTCCCCAGATTGCTGGGTGATCATTTCAAGATTGATTAGTGATCAATAATTCTCTAGATTCTGCCTGTCACATCCGCCTTGCGCTAATGCGGCTGTGTTGGTGTCATAACACTAGCTTTAAATAAAAGATATAGTATATAGTCTTATTAATACTATTTCTATATTTCTATATCTAGTAGCACTAGCTTTGGCCTCCTAACCCTGTCATCTATAGGAGTAGTAGTGAGGGTAGGTACTATAGTAGTTATCTAGGTAATTACTATTATTATAGTAGTAGCTATATACTACTCTTCTAACTAAGCTATTCTATTAGTAATATTTTCTAATTATTAGGCTATCTAGGCTATAAGGTCTAACTATATATTATCTAATATCTATGCTTACTCCTAACTAGGTCCTTTAATAGTATTCTTACTATAATTTATACTATTTATATTATTTTAGTATATCTTATCTTCTTTAATAACTAGTTACTTTATCTAGTTTAACTTTAGCTAGTTCTATAGTTTAGCTATCTCTTACTAGTCTAGCTATCTCTTACTAGTCTAGCTAGTCTTACTAATATTACTAGCTCTTACTAGTTCTATCTAGCTAGCTTTTAGTTAAGTAATTTCTAATATTAGAGGCTAGGAGCTGGTTTAACCTATAACCTAGGTTTAGATAGTAAGGAATCACCGAGGGTCTTAACTAAGGCTATAGTAGCTAAATATAAAAAGGGGAGTATGATAGGGAGCTAGGTTATATAACCTTAGCTTACTATATTAATTAGTATAATGTTATATAACCAGAGCTGGTGTCTAATTTAGATATGACTTTGTAAGGGCTGCACTGCTTAGCTGAATAGCCTGAGCATCTAGTGGGCCCTGCCTGCTATAATTAAGTTATAAAAATAATAAAATTATAAGTAAAAGAAGGTATTAATAAAGTTATTAAATATAAATAAATAATTATAAAATATATATAAGAAACTATTTAATTTAAATAAGATACTATAAAATAAAAGAGATAAGGCTTATAATTCTAAATTATTATTAGCTTAATCTATTAAATTAATTAATATTATAATTAACTATAGAAAAGAATAATAATCTAAAATAAATAAAGCTATTTATATTACTAAATTAGGAAGTATTATAGCTTTAAGGGTAAAGCCTATAGAGAAGGGAGGTAATTATTAAGGGCTATAGTAAACTATAATACTACTATATATACTATACTATATAATAAATACTAAAATATATTTATCTCTATAGGTTATAAAGTATTCTATGACTTAGTGATTAGTTCTCCTTAGGTAATATACAGTATTACAGTTATTTGCTCCCTTCACACTGATCTGACCAGTTGATATTAGGCCTTAGGGACCAATCTTCACATCCGTCTTGCACCAACGCGGCTGTGCTGGTGTCATAACAGGTGTCTCCCTAAGTTGCGGGCGGGGGGTGTTCCTTAACAAATTTCCTATATTTATTCTCTATCTATATCATATATAATTCATTGATATATATACATTAGAAAACAATTAAAAAAAATAAAATACCAAATTAAATCAGAACACCGAAAACAATGAGATGAGATGACTGCTAGGTTAAATAAGTCAGTTCATGAACCTAGCAACCACATTCATCTTACATCTTATAATAATGACAACCAAGGGGGCGGGGACGAAACGATTATTCCCTCATCACATTGATACCTATTACACAGGACCATAAAGCAGTTGGCATGCGTCCCAAGCAGGACAGGTAAAGGCTATCATGATTCAAGACAGCAGTGCTCACTGAGCTTTTTTTGTAACTCTGCCCTCCCTTCGGCGCTTAAGAGCTTCAGGCGTGTACTCAGTGTCGAGAAGGTAATCCCACCACCGAAAGCTACTCGAATAGTTGCCGACAAATTTCTCATGGTGAAGATCATGGTGATCAGCTCCAGCCCAAAAAGGCAAGAAATGGTGGAGACTCCAAGGGAACTCATAGCCGCTGTGCGCATCAATGGCCTGGAAGAGCCGTAGGACAATCCAGACATACATCGTAAAGATATGCAGGTCGCCAGTCAATGCACACCAAAGAATGGGGCATCCAACCGTCCCAAACCCTAGAATCATAACCTCAATAGGCGACGCATATTCGGCGGCCATACCGAAGGGTGCCGAATACTGGTGGTGGATTTTATGGATAGCCTTGTATAAAGGGCCCCAATGGAGGGCACGATGAGAGAAATAATGCCATGTATCCTCAAGAACAAAGAAAATGGCAATCTGGTACATCATGGTCCAAACAGAGGGAAAAGGAACCGACGTAGACAGACCGAAGAACTGCGCCATAGGGTGGAAAAGCCTGCAGACACACCGTTAGAAACACACCATGAAGACCGGTTGAATTGAGACACCAACCAAATCTGCGGAAGTTCCACAGTGAAGTGGCTAAGAAGGACAAACTTGGCGCAATCCCATTGCTCCCTAAGTGAAGGAATTTTATTCTGAGTAGCCAAGTTAGGGCCTTGCGATAGGCATTGAGATCGAATCCTCTTACATTCTGGATTTTATAATTCTTAAACAAGCCCAAAGTGTCAATGAATATCCAGGGAAGAGAACGGCCGAAATAGACAATCTCATGCATCACAAATGACATGATGCCAGTTGCAAGGACATCGTTTTGCATCCAGGCATACCACGCGGACCAAAGTCTCTCCACGACATTGAGATGTGCATTATGTCGGGAAAGTTCCTCATATTGCTCCCAATAAGTACCAGGAGACGTCGAGAATAGTGTCGAATTCCTGTACCTTGTCAGGACTAAACTATGGTCGAACCAAATGACAGGGGATAAAACAACTCACATTGTATTTGATAATCGCACCTGTATCGTGGTATAAGAGACGGCTGGGCGTGGAAATCCTATTCTTCCATCAATAAGAAGAGAAGCAAAGGAATCCGAGTCTGTTCTGGTAGAATATTGTTGGAGGGTGTGATGGTATTTCAGGAGGGAGAGCTAGTGGTTACTAAAGGCGTCGGACGGTCGGACAGGACATCCATTCCCGGGGTGGCGAGACTTTTTCTTAACTTTTTCTGTTTGGACTAGTAATGTTATTATTATCGCCTAGCCCCTTGTCACCCCTGAGAGATCTTCTCCAAAGCTTCCCATAACTACTGCATGATTGGCTACCGAAAAAGTCGAAGATTATCTAAGCCTTCTAGCGTACTGCTAGACTACAGCCAGTAAGAAACAACTACCACAACCTGTACAGAGTGACCATATTTTTATTTATTTAAGACCTCTGTGCAGCTCTGCCTTAATATTTTCAGGTCTAGATATAAATCCTTATATATCGAGTCATTATTTCATCTTCTTAAAAGTACAAAGACAGTCTTGCTGATATCTGGAGAGCGGAGTAACTCCAATGTCACATTGACATTGGACACTATTACCTCACAACCTGACTTGCATACACATCTACATCTGTAGGTAAGATTCTTAGTCGTCGATTTCTTATACCCGATAGGACGATAAGTAGGAGCATCTTTAGTTTTCAATATCGAATTCCCCCTACTTGACCAGAGATGTCTATATAGGTCCAGCTCTAGATAGCAGTACGTTCACCTATACCTGTGGGGTGCTCCCTACAGGAAGTTTGTATTGTTTGCCTTATAATAATATGGCAGGCAGTCTAGTATGCATGACGCCATGCCCGCCCTGTCTTTTAAGCTTTGTTATTATGGCTGCAATCTACATAACTTGCGGAGTTATTGCACGCACAGAGATACACTATGATCATCATAAATCGGTTTGTTACTTCTGATGCAACCACTCGGGAAATGTGCTCACAGTCAGTAGTCACATTCATCACTTGAGCGCAGAGCTCGACAGAGTGCAACAGAAAGTCAATGATGGTCTGCCTAGTCCTACCCATATCCTATCTGAATACCCATATGAAACTTCGAAGGATATAGCGACGTTGCTTAAGTTGATCCAGTCGTTTTCTGTGCAATCTGTATCTCAACCGTTATTACGAGCCGCTCAGGTTAGGGCTCTGATCTCCAAGTTCCCTCATTCCCTGCTCAAGGGAAAGGAATTGCCCGATGAAACTGTCGCATATGTGCTGGATATGTCGTGGATCATGGCTGCGAAGGCATTTTTGCAGGTTTTAGGCATAACCTTCAATGTTCTTCTAGAACATACTCACAGTATCGGCGAAGAGGCCTTGTACTGGGCCGATGTTTCAGGATCAAATTGGTATACCGGAGCATACGCAGTACAGACAGCTCCAGGTCGACTATGGCATTTCCTGAGACGGTCACTTTTGCACATGGAAGAGGACGGCATCCGAAAATCTGTCAACCAAACAGCATCTGTTTCGTGGGCCAGATTTTACAACATAGTGCACCAGTGCCTTGACCCACGCGCGATGCTCTCCCTGCGGGCAAGGCTGTTATCTTCATTTACTGCGAATAGGTCTGAGATTAGACAAAAATGCAAAGCTTTGGGAGCAATGCGAATGAGAAACGCCAGCGGCATTGGCCTTCTCATGTCGCAATGCTCGCTTCTCAAAACAAAAATTAACTCAGAGTTCGCCACTGATGACCGCTTGCGTGATGCTGTGTTCAGGGGTGTACTCACGTTGAAGGTTCTCTTGCAAAGGGTGGTACATGAAGGCACAGAATATGAGCTTGAGGAGAGGGTTATTACCGCAGTCGAAAGGGAAATTGTTCGGTCTCAATCTGAGATCGCAAAATTCCTCCAGACGCCCGAGTACATTATCGAGCAGCTTTTCAATATACTCGACGAATTATTGCCAGATTATAGCGCCTCTTCAAGGAGGGCAATCAGTCACCATGGACGTCCCTCGTGCTTGGTACGTTATTGGCTGCCGCTCTCAGTGGGGGTGCTTTCGACGAGCACTTTCCTAAGGTTGTTAAGCAGTCGGCAGCACGAGCTCATAAGATGGATTTCCGATATCGGATTAACTGCTTGTGAATTCTGGGGTAATTGGGTCGTTGAGCCTACGCGGAGACTTATAGGGACTATTCGACATGACGAAAAGAGCGAGATTGCACTAATGAGTAAGAATAGTCTCGAGGCGGATAGGGCCAGCTTAGAGCGGATGGTTCTTGATTTTGTCCTCGATCGACCCGAGTCTGAGAAAGAGCTTGGTGCGAAGCAGATTGACACAATCACCGCGAGGATTCGAGAAGGTGACCTGACCCCAGTACTGCGAGCGTACGAAAAAGATCTGCGGAAGCCCTTCATTGGAACTGTACGTGGTGATCTAGTACGGGCTCTTCTGATTCAGATTCAGAAAACGAAGGTGGATGTTGAAATAGCGATTGGTGGAATCGATTCATTGCTGAAAAGCCAGGAGCTTGTTTTTGGGTACGGGCTGTCTTTCAAGAACTGACCCCATGCAGAGCTGACATGACATGTGCAAGTTTTGTGAGCCTCACCCCAGGGATCATGGTCACGTACGCGTTTCTGAGATGGGCGTTTGGCGTCTTCGGCAATCGCAAGGGCTTGCAAGTAGGAAGGCGAAAACATGAGCTGAGACATGCTTTGCGGTATTCACAATACAACCAACCTAACGATCCGTGCTGATGTGAATTAGGGATGTCGACCGTACCTTGACACTGTCAACACCTACTGATAGCGGTGTTCTGACCTATAAGGATCATGGTCTTTTGGTCTGTGGTGCAGATATTCTCCTACAAAAAGCAGCAACAATTCTGAGAGGAGCTGATCTCCGTGATTTTCAAGAAGACATTGGTGACCTGCTAGATATACATATCGGAACACAGAGGCAAACCCAGGTTGTAAGTAGAATTGGATGGGTATACTCTCGATGGATCAAGTAAAACCAATATACTGGTTGCTCTTTTGTACATTGATGTTAATAGGATGAATTCACATCCACATAACTTCTCAGTGTCACTTTCTATATATATAAAACGTACAATATCATACTATAATGGTAATTTGCAAGGGAATTCTGTGAAGGTATATGCTTAAAGCACATTGCACATCAGTGACTAGGTATGGGAAGAGTATGCTATGCTTGATTAAAAGGGACAATGGGAATTATCACTAGTGGCTTTTCAATAGGTTCTAGGATCACACACCCCCTAATGTCTGAAACCTAGATAGAATTTCTTATATCATAAAGGTATTCATACTAGTTATAGAGTGGTATTGGTCCTAGGTGTAAGCAAGGAGCTGTTCATTAGATGGAATATAGGTGAGATATTTAGATACATATCTACCTGGAGATGTGGCACTAATCTGTACATGTTGGTTGTAGTCAGCAAGGTATGTTTTCCCAGCTTCTACAGAGGTAGGTACAAACGACTATTGCAACGTTTTCAGAATTGTTATACCCCCCTAGATAACCCTTCAGATGACTTGACTTTTTGCCAACTAACCACACAACATTAGGCTGTAATCTTTCACCCAATTTGTTGAATTTTTTTTTCTTTTTTTATCTATCATTTCGTGCCTAGAGTTTCGGGGGCAGGATCAGTCAAGTACCAGGCAGGAATTTCTGACATTTCACATCAGAAATCTATCTTCTTAATTTCCTCAACGTTTGCCAATCTGACGAAAGTCCTGATACCTCTTGGTGGCTGCCTTTTCTCTGCGGACAATCACCAAGAGTAAGAAGGAAGGGCGGGGGAAGTACGATTATCTTGATAGGGGAGTTCTACCCACGACTACGGAGGTTCATCCCCGTAATATCGATCGGAATCGTACCCAAATATCGACGACTCTCTTGAATTCATACCCAATCCACGATACCACAATGGCTGGCACAAGAAATTATGACTTTCTGGTAAGCTTAAATCACTTTTATAATCTGATTATTTGATAACCGAGAATCGCTTTGGTTGTCATAGATCAAGTTGTTGTTGATCGGGGACTCCGGCGTGGGGAAGTCATGCTGCCTTCTGCGATTCAGTGAGGATTCGTTCACACCCTCATTCATCACTACGATTGGAATCGACTTTAAGATTCGCACAATTGAACTGGACGGCAAACGCGTGAAGCTTCAAATATGGGATACCGCAGGTCAGGAGCGATTTCGAACTATCACAACAGCGTATTACAGAGGCGCCATGGGAATTCTTCTTGTATATGATGTCACGGATGAACGCTCATTCCAAAGTAAGTTCCCTCCACTCTCAAACAGTGATTTGACGCTGACTGCTGCTGCAACTTGTTCAGATATACGTACATGGTTCTCGAATGTTGAGCAACATGCGAGTGAAGGGGTACACAAAATCCTCATTGGTAACAAGTGCGACTGGGAGGAGAAACGAGCCGTCTCCACAGAACAAGGCCAACAACTCGCTGATGAGCTAGGCATCCCATTCCTTGAGGTGTCTGCCAAGAACAACATCAACATCGAGAAAGCATTCTACAGTCTCGCCTCTGCCATCAAAAAGGGCATGGATACATCGAAATCTGAACAAGTGGGGTCACAGGGGGTCAATATAGACCATCATGGATCGGGGACGTCTGGGAGTACTGGCGGTAAATGTTGTTAGGCATGCGCTTTCGCTCCTAACGTTATTCAATCTGATTCGGGCTTCCTTCCATTTGGCGTCATCCTTCAACTCAACCTTTAAACAGGGGGGGGCATTAGTTCCATTTACCATCAGTTGTTAATCACTCCAGAGGCCCTTCATGCGACCAAGACCTCGTTACAGTTGGAATCCGCCTTGGAATCCGCAAATGTTATCATAGTCATCCACTGAGGTATGCTAGGCGGTATTTCGATCCTTTGGTCTATTTGTTCTTTGATTCCTGGCGTTAGAGTTACCAAATTCAGTTTCGCGGCACTGTTCATGTAAGTAAGTCTAAGAAAACAGCTACTTGAACTTCTGAGGTTAAAGCATAAACCAAGAGAATCTCCATACACCAGGCTTCCTTGATTGAAATAGTTTTGAGACAAAATCCGCAATCCATATCATGCAACCAGCGTCTTTGCTCAACCAAGGCGGAAAGGGTACAGAGAACAAGGTCTTGGTTACCTAGCTATTCTAAGCAGACCCACCCGACAAGTTGATATTAGCACTTGGAGGTATTACTTAATCACTAAATCTGTGTTCCGTTTAGGAATATTAAAAGTTTTTATGGTAGTATATAAAATAATATAAAAGTTAAGGTAGACATTTGCATTATGCATGCAGACTTTAACAAGTCAATATAGTACCTCGAAGGTGATTTCAATGATCATTATTCCCTCTTCAGAACTATAGTATGTCTTACACAATTCCTTCGTTATGAGCACAATGACCATGTCAAGACTTACACTGAAAGAGAAAAGGAAGCTGAAGCTGTCCAATATTATAATCTTGCCTTCTTGGTCCCGTCAAGTCAACAGACATCAAATTCAGCGAAAGTTGGAGTGAGACTGATCTTGTGTACTCCCGGTTTTCTATCACTTGAAATGTCCGACGCTCGTCTCTTTACTGTTCGACCGTTGTCAAAACAAGCGAGGAGTGACCATAAAGATGCGTTTCGTATCTATCTGTCATCATCGTCTCTAGCCGGTCTCAAACTTCGAGCTGGAGACATTTGCAGTGTGAACACGCCCGGCGGAAACCCAAAAACCGCCGTAGCTTGGACGGCAGCCGAGAATATACAGAGTACGGTCGTGCAAACTTCGAGGACATTCCAAGATTGTTATGAGATAAAAGTCGGGGAAAAGGTATCTATCAACAGGGCCGAAGATCTATTGGAAGAAATAGATCGCGTCTATTTTACAGAAAGCTCTGATGTAGATCGCCTCACGAGATACGGCGGCCCCATTCCGCCCAAGGAAAAAGACCACTGGGCCTTTGCTTTGGGGTTCCCTCTTTCGAGATGCGAACTTGTCGCTGTTGGTCTGACTTTTGATCTGGAGCTAATAGGGCAACGAAGAAGTTTCAAAGTGGCCAATATTAAGACAGCGACTAGAAATCCCGCCAACACTCTATTTCGCTTTACTGACAGATCGCAAATCGAGATCGGCGATGAATTTGATGGCGTCCCAGAAGAGGTGCCATCAGCAATACAAGTAAAGCCTTCCGGTTTAGGAGGATTGTCTCGCCAGGTCGACAGCATCAATGAGAGTCTTGCCGATTTCAACTTGGTGCAAAAGTTCAGAATGCCATCTTTCTATGAGCACAGTCGGGGTATCCTACTATATGGACCTAAGGGGACAGGCAAATCTGCCCTTCTGCACCAGATACAAGCAGCAGGTTGGAAAAAGACGTTTAGTCTCGGTTCATCCATGTTTAGCCGAAACATTGGTGATGCGGAAGCTAAGGTTCGCAATGTTTTTCAAGAGGCAGTACGTTGCCAGCCAAGTGCCATCATAATTGATCAGCTCGACTTCATTGCTCCTAAACGAGCATCACTAGAATCTCAATCTTTAACATCAGTACTATGTGAATGTCTAGATCTGATCAAAAGTGCTCTTGTGCTGGTTGTGGCAGCAACTCGCCATCCTAACGACGTTGATGACACACTCAGGACACCCCACCGTCTAGCAATCGAGATTGAAATGCAGGTACCCACAGCGCAAGACCGAGCTGAAATCTTGCGGGCTATTTGTGGAAGCTCATCACGTCAATTGAGCGAAGAGCTCATCGACATGATTGCAGAGAAAACGCACGGCTATGTCGGAGCTGATTTGTTTGCCTTACTTCAGCTTGTATGCCGAAAAGCGCGGCAGAGGCAGTCATGTCAATCTCATTCGCCAACTAGGCCCTGCGACGTTACATCAACCCCTCACATAGTGGCGGGCGTTGAGCACATCGAGAAGAACATGGCCGTTGACCTGGATATCGAGGAGTTGGATGTTATGTCAGCTCTACAGGAAACTCGTCCTACCGCCATGCGAGAAGTCTTCCTAGAGACACCAAAAGTCAGGTGGACAGATATTGGCGGGCAGCATGATATTAAGAGGCGTCTCCAGAAGGCTGTAGAAAGACCTCTTAAAGTGAGTATCGGCCCGTCAGCGCTCCTCTTGACTTGCTGACCTTTCATGCAGTTCCCTGAGCGGATGAAAAGACTCAATGTGAACAGTAAAAAAGGGATACTTCTCTATGGCCCCCCGGGCTGCTCTAAGACGCTAACGGTGAAAGCACTTGCTACCGAAGCAGGTCTCAATTTCTTGGCAGTCAAGGGTGCTGAAATCTTGAGCATGTATGTCGGCGAGTCAGAACGAGCTTTGCGTGAAATTTTTCGAAAGGCACGATCTGCGAGGCCGAGTATCATATTTTTTGATGAGATCGATGCGATCGCGTCACGAAGAAATTCATCTCACGGAGGTGTCAATGTGCTCACCACTCTACTAAATGAAATGGATGGCATCGAGGAATTGAAAAATGTGTTGGTCATTGCTGCGACAAACAAGCCTGACGTGATTGATCCTGCCCTGATGCGCCCGGGTCGCCTGGATAACATTTTGTATATTGGCCTGCCAGATTTTGAGGCGAGAAAGGAGATTCTGCACATCTGGTTTCGCAAGTCCGTGGTCCATCCCGAAGTGGACCTGGAGGAGCTAGCCAAAGAAACTGATGGTTATTCAGGGGCGGAAATTGTGAGCATTTGCGAAACTGCAGGTGACGCAGCATTAGATGAAGAAGAGGAGACTGGCCAAGAACAGGAAGTAAAGTGGAAACATTTTACATATGCGCTTCAGCAAGTGGAGCGACAAATTACGCATGACGTCCTCAAAGAATATAAGCAATGGGGAGGGTCTGCAAAATCAAAACCTTAGGCCTCAATCAAATGGTAATCTACATGATCTATTTTTGTATCTATTTCATAATCAATGTCATTATTGTATGAAAATTAAAAAAATGGCGCTGTTATACAAGGTATCCAGGAAAAAGAATAAGCTAAAAAATAAGCTATAAGACTGAGGTAAATGGTTACAATGTGTGAATTTGGCCTGGCTTGTGATGGCTAGCTAAGCTGGAAAGTTGGACAACCGCTTTAGTAGATAGATATCTAGATACCTGACATCCTTCGCTTAACAACCCCTTCCGACATCCAATACCAAGTGTATGGTTTCCCTCGCATTGGAATTGGCCCAATCTTCTCTCCCGATCGCAGCTTACTCTCCAAAGTCCATTGTCCCTTTCTAGGCATCATCATTAGGTGATCCACGCTCGTCCGTTCCAGGTGCTTTGTGTCTCTTCCACGTCATGTCTTCAAGATCACCTCAAGGCCGATCGCCACGTCGCTCAATGCACGAGATGGATCTCGAAGCACTCAAACAACAACCACGGCGTTCGATGTCCCCTCGAGGAGGTTCAAGGTCCGTCAGCCGGAGTCCGTCCGCTCACTATGATAATGACCGCCGCGACAAACGTCGTTCTAGAAGCTGGTCTCGGTCTCTCTCGCGTTCTCGGACATCATCCCCGAGCCGTAGTCGCAGCCCAAGCCGTGATTCTCGATGGTACAGAAATAGGAGCTACAGCCGTACACCGAGTCCAAGCAGTGGACTTCCAAGAAGTTCAAAGGTCTGTTCTTATTTTATCGTACCTATTCCATCTCCTTCTCTCCGAAACTTGCTGACGGCCAACTTCATCGTAGATCATAGTTGAAAAATTGACTAAGAATGTCACCACATCCCACCTTAGAGAGATATTTGGTTCATTTGGTGATATCAAGAGTCTTGAGCTTCCCATGAACCGAGCTTGTAAGTACTCACTTTCTGGACTGGTGGTATATGTGCGTATAAACTTACACCACCAGTCATGACAAATAGAGGCGCGGCCTATATTCTTTATCACGATCCTGCAGATGCAGAAGCAGCGATATCGCACATGCACGAGGCCCAATTAGACGGTGCCGTTCTGAATGTCTCAATTGTGCTGCCTAGGAGAGCCTTCTCACGTTCACCGCCACCAGCAGAGAATGGCCGGGGTGGCTCTGGCCGTCGTAGGTATGACTACAGAGAGCCCTCAAATCACCGGTCTTCGCGTATTCCTCCAATTGTACCTAGGTCTACGCCCCCTAGAAAGCATGGCCGCTCGCGGCCCATGGAACGACATGATTTATACCGCCCGCGCTCTTTGTCGCGCTCTAGGTCACGGCGTCGCTCATTGTCGTCTTTCTCAGAATCGCGCTCTAGGTCCCCAGCAAGGAGAAGAGCGCACATCCGCGTGGACAGCCCTAGGCACCGTAAACGCCGCAGTCCAAGTTATAGCAGTTATGGTTACAGCAGTCATAGCGACGAAGATAGAAGCCGGAGCAGGAGCAGAGTTCATCGCTTGGACGCGTCGAGAAAATAACCTGGAAAAACAAATATTGTGTACTATACCTCAGTCCCGCATTGAAGTGCACATGCATGGTCATGGTCATTCCAAGTGCTTTATTAGGTCTAATGACAATAGTCTTCAGGAAAAGGCTTGATTTATTATGCTGAATGGAACGCGAAATGCTTTGTTATCATCAATGCATAATTCAAATTGACTGACTGAGCCTTACAACCAAGCAAGAATCAGTTGCTCTCATGAACAGCTGCGCTAGTCTCAAATCGACATCGAGGTGCGGATCAATTCTCGTTCAGAAAAAAGCACACCAGCCGATATACATGGCCGCTAGGTTTCTCTTGTCTGTTGCTTGTGTAATTAGTTCATCAACATGGCCATCCACTGATAAAGGAACCGACTCTCCGGGCAAAAGGCCTCGGAGTTTATTGCGAACATTCTCGAGCACCCCAGCGGGGGTCTCTGGAACACTTGCATGGGTGCGACGCTTGAGACACGTCAGTATAGGAAAATCATTGAAGGCGAGTTACTTACCTTTCTTCCGATGAAATCTGTGGTTGGATCGTGTAAGAAAGTCTCCAGCACGGTCATAAGTGCATCCTCGTTCTGTCGCAGAAGGCGAAGGCTGATTTCACATGTCCTTCTGAACGGTCCTGTGAACTAGAGTTGAGCGAACGCTTCATCCTTGATAGAATCAGGAAACAAACCATTATACCCATAGGCCCCAAAAGCATCGATCATGTTCTGGGTGAGACGGAATGGGACCAACTCGGGTTTGTCGAATGTTAAGCCCTATTCCAATCAGTCTTGGGTGTCTGGACAACGTAAAGAGTTACCTTACCTTATCAAAAAGGCAATTGAAATCAACATGTATTACACCACCTGTACCTTCCTCAAATAGGATATTCTCGCCATGCCGGTCTCCCAATCTGCCCAACTCTGATGTCAGTATGATTAGAGATACGGAGACTGCAATCGAGGCCAGCATACCCCAAGACGTGTCCGACCATTGACATAACTGCACAGGACCTCGTATAACGGAGTCGTGCTGCAAACCAGGCCCCCGTATCTGGGAACATTTCTACAAACCACTCGTGCAAGACTGGAGGGAATCTGGGAGAAATGAGCATCGATATCACGGGTATAAATTATTGGGAATACTCACTTCATCAGGACTTTTGTTGTGAACAAGTGAAGTTTTGAGGCCTCTGAGCATGCTTCGTTAAGATAGTGTCTGATTTCGTTATACTGTTGTTGTGTTAGTTTAACATCAATTGACGATTGGCTAGTTGGACTGTTTCATACGTTCGGCATGATACCTCTCTCTTTAAGGAGTTTGATAATGATCTCTCTCAATGTTCTCAGATTGTCTACCCACTCGATTAGACCACATTCCTCATTCAAGGGCGTAACGGCGTAAGTCTTGATATCTAAAATCCCTTAGCATTGGACAATAAGCTTTAGAAATGGCACTTACACATGCGCCGTTTGCTCGACTCCACATCCCTCTTTAAAAAGCGGTTAATCGTGTTATTGAATTCCATCAGACGCTGGTCCTTGCGGAGATCATCTTTAGGTTTACAGAGGACGTTGTAAATTTTCCCATCGGAGCCTCGAATGCTGATTTTCCGGGGCTTCTGCAGTGAGTTCAGAACTTGGGCATCGTCAAGTATGGCTGTGAAGCGTTAGATATCCCAATCAATTCTCTCAAGTAAATCTGAGGCGTACCATCAATGGTCGTGGGGTCTCTGGGGAAAGCCCTGAATCCCTTCAAATATTCGGTCTCATGGCTGGCCGGAAGACTTGGAGTCAACATCGCCTGGAATGGAACAACAAGTCGACAAGGGGCAACTCTGTGGCTGAACCCGAGATGTCGGGCAAGATGGATTTTTGACGCCTTCTCCTCAATTCGTGCCGTGCATAGTTTGAGCATCTCCTCTGAGAATTTCTGTCCTTGATTGATCATTCCCCGCATGTCCAAGGGTAATTCTGTTTTGGACTTTTTGTTTGCCTCCTTTGAGATTATTTAATATGTGACCTCGGCCCGGCGATTTCGCGCACTTACAGTGATTTTATGAAGACAATTGATGCCCCTAGAAGCTCGATCCTTGGAGGATGACTTGACAACTGCAAGGACTGTCCATAGCCCTTGCTGGGGAAAAGCATTGACTACTTTCGCTACAATCCTGGTTAAAAGCTCGTAAACCATGGCATGGGGATGGCATATCCGAGCAACCACTTGAGGAAGGATCGTGAACAGCTGCCATTGTAAGCAGGTCTCTCAGCAGAAGCAGAGAGCGGATAAATGACTGACCAGCGCCGCGGGCATTCGATTCAGATATTTCTTTAGCTGTGAGTGCATATCATCAAGAGTTTTTTTCCGTTGATTCAATGTGTGCGTCTGGAACTCCCTACTAAGTTGTTCAGCGTCTTTTCGAGTGATAAAAGTGTATCTGGTAAGGAGGGAAGTCAATACTCATTATCACCCCTTTTCGGATCGAAAGGTTTATCAAGCGTGGCAGCATGCTCTAGCCAAAGGGTCAAGATTCTGGGCAGTGATTGGAATACGTATTTGTTCCCGTGCGCTAAGGAGCGAAGATAGTTATCAATGACAAGTTTTGAGGCTTCACCACTTAAGCTAGAAATATCCTTTAGTCATAGTGTTGGAGATCAGAGAAATACACTTACTATATCTGAGCCTCTTTTCCTAAGGGTTTGGCCTTCTCAGACTCCAAAATCTTGTTGTAATGTTTGCCCAGGTAGTAGTGCGCCTTTTCCCACCTGTTGCCCTGTCAGTCCGTTTGATAATCCTGGAATAGTGCGGTCATACCTTGAGTGAAGTTTGATCGCTTCTCGGTACCTTTGTACGATCACGTCGGATTGGGTCTGTCCCGCTCTGTCCGTCCATTTCGCTAGTAACAGATGGGCCTGGCGCATATTAGTTGCTCCATGCCATTTCACAGAGGATAAGCAATGGTACATACCCTAGCAGCAAGCAAGTTCTGTTGCTTTTCGCTTTTTGACCCACCGGATGAGGACGCGTCGGAGGCAAATTCATTTGCAGCTATTGCACCCTCCAACGTCTGTATGGCTTTTCGATGATGGCCATCCTTCCAAAGAAGACGGGCGTGTTCAATAGTAGCTGACCTATCTTTCAAACGAGCGGCACGAAGCATTGAGTGATAGGCCTGATTGGTGTAATTGCCCTTTCGCGACAGACGTGCACTAGTAAGCCAGGAACCAGCGATATCAGACTCCATGAAACCATGCCTATGTGATTCATGTCAGCATCCCTTCAGATGAACATTTATGGTATAGATGAATCCCACGTCAATTCCATTGTGGCTCTTCTCAATCCAAGCAGGTACTGCTTGTCAGCTATGTATCCCCCAAGGACGTCAAGCCGCCGACTTAGTACATCATGTATACAAGTGAGCGAGCTGTTTTCGCAGCCCTCACAATCGGAAATAAGTTCCATTTCAGTCAAGGCATGCAGCTTGAGGATGCTGTCATGGCAAGATTGTAGGGAAGTGACAGAGTTCACAGTCAGCGATTTGGCGACACTGAGCTGCAGATCATGAATGATGTTACGGAATTCAGCCTTGTTTCCAAGTCGAAGCGCACAAAGAGCTGATCCGACCCCAATATTGAAGTCTCCAGTAATTTCCGGTGAACGCATTTGGAGGTAACTGCGAAGCTTATCCCAATTTCCTGTGATCCAGGACGCTTCCACAGCAAAGGGAAGAAATCTCGAGGTTGAGCCTGCTGAATCGAGCGTGTCAAATCTAGCAATAATGGCATCTGAACCGGATTAGTTATCGACAGTAGTGATCGCAGCTCTTTATTGGGAGATTACCCTGTTGCCCTGACTCTCGAAGACACGTAAGAAGATTCCACTGTGCTTCAACATTGTCGGGTTCTTTTTCGACTTGCAGTTCGTACCAACTTTGCGCAGTAACCCATCTGCCTGCTTTGCGGTGTTCGAGGACCTGTTGGTCAATGTTCAGCATGTGCAAATGAGTCGAAATACCCTCAATACCATCGGGCTCATCAATTTGACTGTAAATCACTTGAAGATGTTGGTAGAGAAGCTCAGCGCTCGTGTCGTCGTTCTTCTCGGATTGACTTTTGAACCGGCGGATATATTGTTCCCAATGGAATAAGGCCCTAGAAAATGATTTGCATTCGACCGCTCTTTTCGAAATGACTTCTGGAGGTATTGAAGTCAAGAACGTTTCCACAGCTTTGACCTGAGACGAATATGTTTCGGATAATGAATCTCGATGAGAATCTTTGTGAGATCGGCCAGTATGTGATGTATGATTCTTGAGGCTGTTGAGGAGCTTCTTTTTCCCCTGCAGCCACCTTGAAAGGTAGTCCAAAATTTCAAAGACGCTCTGTCCTATCGTCAGAGGAAACTCAAGTATGTACAGACCTTATGGATACAGAAGAGAATGCTCACCTGACTGCATAGTATGATGGCTTCATGAACCCGACTACCTGCTTCGGGAAGTGGATGGGAGAGTATGGTTGTGAGCTCACCCTGCAAGTCCAGCCTCTCCTCCTGGGTTCCACCAACTATACGATTTAGTACGGCGAATGGTAGGAGAAAGCTGGCAATTGAAATGTCTTGACCCTTGACAATACGACTGCAAACGCTAAAAATAAGCTGCGCGTTGTCACCGCTTCCTCTTTGCAGCAGATCCTGCACAAAACTTCGCAGCCAGTCGCCATGTGTCAGGTCTGTGGAAAATATTGGGAATTTGCAATGCGATCTTATGGCACCAACTGTGACCGTATACTTAGACGTGAGAAAGGGGGTCAAAGTATTGCGCACAGTCTCAGGTAATTCTGACCAACGACGGTACTTTTCGTCCGCTTGAATATCTCGGGAGCGTTGGGTGACGGCCGAATCGAGGTTGCAGAGTCTGAGCAGGTTTTGCATAGCGTAGGCAAGAAAACCTTGGGCCCTCGTATTGGAGGCTGACAGAAAGGCTTGAACCAGCACATGTTGAAGGAAGAAAAGTACGAAATCAAAGGTCTCTTCCATTCTGTCGAAGTTTGATAAAACGAGAATATCCTTCTTATCTTTGACCGGATCAACTCGATTTGGATCCAGACAGCCTAAAAGACCCAGACATTGAGCCGAAAGAAGTGTTATGCTGTCGCAACCTGCGTTGAACTTGACACAGCAATCCAGCAAGGACCTCGTTAACTGTGCAACAACGGGGTCAGGCTGTTCACTTAGTACGGACTCATGCAAGAATTCTTCATGCCTTGAAAGGCAAGGCAACAACTCTTTCAATGCCTGTTCCACAACAGCGGCATTCTCACTTTGGCAGCGACGTCCAAAAGCCGAAAGTTGACTTCGAACATCCATCTTCTCTTTCATCTTACTGATCTCACTTTCAAGCGCAGATAATGAAGAAATCGAAGCCAATGAGGGGATGCTGCTGAAATTGGTGTGCACAAGTTCACTGTGGCTTCTGAGAATATATCCAACCAGTTCGTGGGCAGTCTTCCTGCTCTGATCGTTAAAAGCGCTCCAGTATCTGATCACCATTGAGAATGTTTGATCAATGAGTGGCTCAAGCTCTTCTTCGTGCAGAGAGCTGACCAACACGCTCCAGGCTGAAAAGGCATGATCACTGAGCTCTTCGACGCTAAGTGCGGAACGCAGGCACGCACATATCTGCAATTTTAGATCAAATTACCGACTTAAAACTGACGGAATGTTACAGCGACTTACCTGCGGTAATGCGCTGCTGATATGGCCACGGGCAACTTTGATCATTTCACCAATGGCCAGAATATTTCGCCTCTTTTCAATTAGAGGCTGTCTTATCTGAAAGTCGTTGATTGCATGCGCGAACTGCGTGATTATACCCAGAACATGCTCCTCGATGAAATGACAGAGCAAATTGGCCTTCTTAGTAGCAGTAGATTTGCGGGGAACTAAGGCTGCCAACAGGTGAAGAGCTCGATGAAACTACGTTTATCAGATTAGCACAAAGCTCATTGTAAAAAGGAACTGGTTCTCACATGCCCGTGCGCCTTTCTCACTTCCCGAGTCACCAAGGCCTTTTAACAGATCACAAGCAATCAAGATCGGCTCTGTTCTAACCAGCTCCGCCAAAGTACGTCCCCCGAAGGCGGAGTCAATATCGGATAGAACAGACATGATCATACCTTCCGGGTCCGACCATGGTTGGCTCATCAGAAAAGCAAGAATCGTTGCAAGGTTGTTCTTCTCGGAGCAAATGTCGAAGGGCGTTTTGACCTCCTTATAGGCTGCACCAACCCTCGTAATGACGTCTCGTTTTCGAGTGAGAACAAGGTACGGCAGGATGTGAACTTCAGTTAATCTTAAAAGATCATCTACATTCATTCCCAGTAGATCACAGAGTTGCTCGGCCATGTGAGGACGGGACTGGAAATTCTTCACCACCGTTATCGACAATGTTCTCCAGAAAGGCCGGAACAAACCAGCAGGCGTCACAGAGAGATGCTGAGCAAGTTTAGAAAGCTAGAAGAACTTAGCAGATTACCATCAAATCAAGCATGCGGCCGCCGGTCAATTTCCAAATGGTAAAAGGGGAGAACACCTCGAAACATGAATGACTGAATCACTACATACCTCAGTGTACGCTACTGCGCAAATGAATGGATTTGAATGGCCCAAGTACTCCAGTAGACGAAGGAGAATGATATTCATCTCTTCATCGTCGGAAACCCTGTGGGTTTCGGTTAGCCTTCGGAAACAATATTTACTCGATGTTAGAGGCATACTCTGCAATATGACATAAGGTCAAGATGCAAGTCTCATGCAACGGGAGTTCTTGCTTCTCAGAGAGGCTCCGCAGCCATTCCAGTATGACAACAAAGTTGCTTCGACGAGTTTCAGCGTTGATATCCTTTCGAACAAAAGAGATCACCAGATGCCTAAACATTATCAGCTCCTTGATGACTGTAGAACAAGAGGGGTAGTGGGGGAAGCGAAACGTAAAAAGAGATGAAGGCAAATAGATAATCAGAACGAGATTGCGAGATAGTAATCATACCCAGTGACTATCCTCAGCTCTCTAATCGAACTTCGAAGCGAGTGTAAACACAAGTCGCCGAAAACAGAGGATTTCAGCTGCAGGTAAGAAGACTCAGGAGGAGCGTGAATCAATAGCCTTCGCAACGCGCTTATTGCTCTTATTCGGACACTGGAAGCGCGTGTGAGTCTAGGTAGAACGAACGTGAAGATCCCACATAGCTCATGAACGTCACGGCACTTCGAGGCGGGCTCAGAACTAGCCGCTCTTTTCTCACTGTCACACACACTGCAAGATAGCGAGCTTTGCAGAGCAGCCTTACTCGGGCTTGATAGGCTTCCAGCCATCGCACATGCGATCTTACCCAGCATATAAAAAAGGTCGGATTTCTTTTGCTCAGGGAGATCCACGAACGACTCCCTTGAACATTTGCGGTCAGTAGTCCAAAGGATATATCATGATATGCTTAACTCACGAGATAGCACGATTGAGGTTTCCAATATTTACGGATTCCTGGCAGCCCAATAGCTCAAAAGTCTCGCTAATAAGTTCATGGGCTGTGTCAATGTGGGCGGAGCCTTCTTGTGGCCGCGGAATGCCGTAGAGTATAGCATGTTGAACCACTTCATCTTGTCGACCCATTTGACCAGTAGTATTTGGCTCTTGCAAATCGACGCGACTCCGATTTTCATCTCCAGATACGGGTCCCATCAATATTTGCAACACAGCCTAGATTGGAATTTTGTAAGTTTCAAGAGATAATTGCTGAAATATTTTCGCATGCCTACCTGAAAACCCGGCTCAAACGACTGAATAGTGCCCTTACTCTTGAACTCAATCATTGTTGGTAAAAGAGCGGCTCTCAACTGAGTTACTACTTCTAAACGATGTTGAGACGCGTCGATCAAACTGTCAAGAAGCCGGCCCAATTCGGCCTGAAGATGAGGCATCTGAGTCAGTTGGCTCAATGTGACTAACTCGCTACAGATCTGAACCCAGGGACGTGCCAGACCCGATCGTGGCGATAAGAGACCGGACATATCAGGTTCAAGTGAGCGAAAAATATGTAGACTGGACGTAAATTGTATACAAATGCGTGACTTGATCTCAATATCATCTATCGAGGCGCGCACCCATCTATGGGTAATTTTCCATAGACGTTCAATTCCATTTATGATCCAAGCTAGGTCTTGGTGAAAGGTAGGATCCTTGATGCTCGTGTGACTATGGATTGCTCTTTTTGGAACAAAGGAGTCCAGTAATCGAAGAGCAAGGGTAAGTGTTTGGGGAAATGTTCCGAGCGTAATCTTCTTGCTCAAAAGAGCTCGAGAAATATTGAGATTGTCCAGGGTCGGGAGGATTGCACACTTCACCGCCGGTATCGATAGTCTAACCTCAGACATATGCTGTCTCGACAAATAATGATGACTCTCAAGCGAAAGGAAGATTTCTAGAACACAATCAGCCAGAAAATCATACTCACGTCTAATCATGTAACTAACCATTCGTGCACGCTCGAAGGAGTGCTAGAGCGGAATAGCAGGAGGGCAATGACGTTATATGCTTATAATGAGGACGGGTGATGCTGGAGAGTATGCAAATTATTCTCTTTCCTATGTTATTCGCCTCCCAACTGAGCAAGCTTAGCAATCGTAATATTAGCCATGCATACAGGGGTACGCTCGCATTCTCTCCCAGAATGGTTGGGTCACATATTTCACCCAAAACTTGCGGTGACCTTTCAAGAATTGTTTGAACGATATCCAGGCAGTCTAGTATCTGGCCTTCAGAATCTCCCTGGAGGAACCTATCGCCCTTGACACAAGGCTCGACGCCTGCTTGCAGCACGATGCAAATCAGTCTGCTAGCATCTGCGGTGCTGTCATCTAGACGCAATTGGCCGCATTTTCCATCCACCAGCTCTTGACGCAGCTGCGAGAATGTTTCCCTGGTCAAGTAACCGTGGGCACTGTTTCCTTGAGACACCAGCTGTGGAAGTTGAGCTGCTAGAATCGACGAAGCTGGTTCCGCAGACCCTGACAAGCCGTTTTTAGTGGTGAATTTATAGGAAACCCACGACTCATTGGTCGCCATATGTGTAATAGAGAAGCATCAAAAGCTCTGTAGCATTGACTGAAGGCGTTAGAAGCTGAAGATAATTGAGTGCTTATCGAAGGGACGCGCCCCACCAGAAAGGTTATTACAGTAGGTAAAAGCGTAAGGTACGCCGTAGTAGTTTGTATCAGTTGTGTACAGGTACTTATGGTATGGTTACAAAGTTGCAAATGAATAACCCATTCTACACTAGGTAGGTACATAGCACCGTCTTAATAGTAGCGCTTTGTCTGTGTGTTGATACCTAAATTATCGCAGATAATAACATCATCCTGGGGGGCACAGCCATAATCAATGGACTATCATCTGCATGGCGTGTAGTGTTGTGACATCACACATTAGATACTGTATCGGGCTTTCCATCAGAAAGGTCTTAGCAAACATCCACTTACGATTGTCACTCACAAGTCGTGCAGATTGCATTTAATATTCTTCTACTTCTCGGACTTTTGACTTTTGTATCAGGCTACCGATGATGTGTCAGGTCAGAAGTAAAGAGGATGAGTTGAATCGAACAGTGGCGGGATATGCTCATATCGCCAGTTTAAAATCTTCTTCTAGTCTAGATATTATTGCACACTCACCAGGCAACGACACATTTACGAATCTGAGTCTCTCTCCATATCCTGGCACAATGGAGGTTCAAGGTGAGTTAAGAACGGAAATTTCCATGGCAATCACTTCGGTGACAACTTCTCGAATTAGAGCAGGAGGATTCAATGCATGCATATTTTATGAAGCAAGCCTTGTTGATGGTACAATACCTCCCCAAAGGCTGGATCGAAGACGCTCACAAATACGCTGTGTAGGGCGAGAAAGCGCTCGAATCTGGCGAAACGCCGGTTGGATGCGTGTTGGTACACGATGGTAAAATAGTGGGTGCTGGAATGAATGACACCAACAAATCAATGAATGTACGTCGTGGTGCTGGGTTGAGACAAGCACTCTCGGCCTATCATCAAGTTTTCTATCTTGCTCATACAATGCGTATTGAAAGTCATGATGCTGCTGCACGAATAGTTCTGGACCTCGGGTTGTTTCATTTCTTTATTTCATCTTCTTTATAGCTCACTGCCATTTAGGGTACAAGACATGCCGAGTTCATCGCCATTGAAGAAATGCTCCGGAACCACCCCAAGTCAATACTTCGCTCGACGGACTTGTATGTCACAGTCGAGCCATGCGTAATGTGTGCTTCCGCTCTAAGGCAGTATCAAATACGAGCAGTCTATTTTGGCTGCGCCAATGATAGATTCGGAGGCACAGGAAGCATTTTGTCGTTGCATTCTGAGTGAGTATGTCTGTGTCTTGAAAACTTGAGCCGTTTCTAAACTGCTACCTATGTCAGCTTCACGATAGACCCACCATATCCTGTCTATGGAGGATTATTCCGCAAAGAAGCAATAATGTTACTTAGGCGCTTTTATATACAAGAAAATGAGAAAGGTAAGCGTCCAAAGGGTTTGGCGTATGCACGGATTTGAGAGATTTGCTGACTCCGTTGAGCGCCAAAACCACGGCCGAAAAAGAATCGAGAACTCAAGACGATGCTCGAAGACGATAACGCTCTGAACCTTGCCTCTTAGGCGAAATGGTGTCATGCAGTCGTCGCCGAACTTGCTACTTCGTAACCATATTGCTGAATGCAGATTGTTCATGTAGCTGTATTTCGAGTACATGGAAAGAGCATTAGGATACAAAGGATTCACAAAACATGTTTCCGTGTCGGGAACTGACAAGATTCGACAACCCTCTACAAGCACAAAGACTCAGGAAGAGCCGGCTGTCGTCAAACGCTCGGCTTCGAGTTCACGCTCAGCTTGTTGGTAATATTTTGCTGTGTCAACACCATGCTGCCATACCTTAGCGAACTGCATTCATAATTTTGAGGACAGTGATGAAAAATAAAAAAAAAAAGGCTTACCTGGTCGTGATTGACGATGTTAAACCAAGGAAGGACATGAATAAAAAGCTGTGAGTACCGCGAATTCCTGGCCGCAACGCCTTGTAGGTAAGAGGATACTTGTGATGTACCGTATAGCGGCTCGCCCTTTTTGACCTTGTCGACCATTTCCCTCATGTCCATTTCGACCTCTCGGGCATTTTCCGTGAATCCGTAGAAACGGTCTATGCTCGGGTTAATGCGTGCTACCAGAGGGTTTCAGTGCGTCGACGTACTGCAGGATCTCTGGTAAAGTATGTGTAGACCTCCAATCAAACCAATTGCTGTCGCCAGCCGCATCACAGGAGCAAAACCTCCTCGGCCCACATGGGAAGGGCTGACCCTCTCCATAGCCCAGAATGCGAGAGGGGAGGCAGCGGCCATACCCCCAGCGATTGCATAATCAGAAGGTCTAGCATATCCGAAAACTCGTCTAAGATGCCTATGTTGATGTGAATATCTGCTTCCACAGTTGAGCGCTTGAGCGAAGGGTAGTGACATACGGATCAGAGTCGATGAGCTGCAACGCAAGGTTAGCGATTAATGTGAAGCGAAAACAATTGTATAGGAGAGCAATTGGACGCACCGGGTAGTCGGTATTAGCCCGCTTCGGAGGGATAAGAGCGATCTTGCCTTCAGGAGCCATGGTGAGGATACCGGAGGTGTATATGCCCTGAGGTTCACTTTTGGTCAACCAGATGGGCGGTTTGTCAGTATAGATGAACCTTGAGGTGCAGCACCGAGATTACCCTTGACTATTCTTGGACTAGTCGAAGATTTATGCTTACTAAGCATGAACATAATAACTAACTCCATGGTTGACTTGCGAGATCAACCTACCTTATAAATCAGAGCGATCATACATGATGCAGATCTGGCAAGACTTGAGGTTACGGGGTACTTGTGGATAATCATCAACTTGAGAGTATTGAGGGTTTCTAGATGACCCTGAACGCCTCAGTAATGGACTAGAGAAACATTTCCAAGAATTTGGAGAGGATTTCAGGTGAACGTAACACTTTGTATTATAAAAGAAAATGTAAGGTAATGTTTCTGTCATGTATTCAATACGTAAATTGGCGAGTTCTTCGAGCCTAACCAAAAATTGATATATTGACATCCTACGTATATCAGAACGCGTCAGAGCCTAGTGACGCGTAGAATAATCCCAATTAGGCTGCATAACCTTCAAGGTTAGCAAATATAGTGTACTCTGCTCTGATTGAAGACATTATTGAATTCCCAACTGCCATTCTTGACAAAAATTTCCAGATACACGTCATATCTTCTGTCTTGGCCGAAAATACAGATCTAGAGTCATGGAGAATGAAGGCACACTACAAGATGGTCGACCAGCATCACCGAACCGTGCAGACGATCTCTTTGATTATGACTTCGGCTTGGATGAGCTGTGGCGGGAGACCCCGAATGTGCTAAATAATGGCACTCCCATGCAGTCTTCTGCGCGAGATGAATCAGGACTCGGTTTAGGTCTAGATGAAGAGGTCAAAGTGACCAAAAAGCGGCAACCTGTTGCAAAGCTGGATGAGAGTCGGTAGGTTGATTTATTAGGCTCAATAATGAGATAAGTGCTGAATCTTCGGTGCAAGCCTACTGTCACAGCCTGGTATTCCAAAGTTGCGCCGCACAGCCAAAAAGAAATTGAGATTCAAAGGGAAAGGGCATGAGGTGGGTGAAGCAGAGAACGCCATTTCTGTATGTGTTGCAATTCTAACTCGCATTAATATTATAGTTCTCCGACGCAGCACGCTTGTTGAACTTCTACCAATTGTGGCTTGACGACTTATTCCCCCGTGCAAAGTTCGCGGATGGTCTTGCCATAATTGAGCGACTCGGCCACTCTAAACGCTTACAAGCGATGCGAAAGGAATGGATAGACGAGGAGAAACCAAAGGTCACGTCAGAAAATCATAATGATCCCCTGCAAGCCTCCGAATCATCAGGAAGTCGGTCCGATGATCCTGTTGTAGCATTTGATGGTCTCAACATGACGGATACAAAACGATCGAGAGGGGATATTGCTGGTGACCATACGTCGGATGCAGAGGGGATGCATAATGAAGACACTTTGAATTCTTCGCGACAACGCGAATCAGACGAGGGGCTCTTTATGACAGATGACGATGATGTCGCGCAGCAGCCCGATAACCTGGAAGCTCCCGACGACGATGAATTGGATGCACTTCTAAAAGAACAAGAGCTACTCCTGATGAACAATGCCTCTACCTGAAGCTAATGGCCAACATGTTGTCGAAACCCCCTTTGAACAGGAAGGTTCGAAGAATTAATTGCATGACCTAGAATGATTACCGACAAGAACTTTCCTCCAATCGTAGGATCAAGGATGAAGTTACAGAGCTGACTTATCAAAGAGTCCAATTTTTCAAGTTCCTAGTATAACTTGCATTCAACATGATATTCCTCAATTAGCTGGCGACGAGCCATAGCTGCTCAGGGGATCTATCTAGAGCCTTTTCAATATTCCTTTTACAGGGTACGTGCATGGGCTACTAGTTTACTCCGGAACGAAAGGTGTGTGGTGATAACGTTGACAAAACAGTGCCGACAATAAAATAGAGTACAGAGCCGATCTTTGAAATAAGTTCGCATAGAGCCGACATGAGTTAAGATGGCATGGTGTATGGTGAACTAAAACCCAGGATTCATCTAGCATTGCGCCCAAACACGCCGAAGTTGAGCAGTTTCGGATGAAAATAGGAGGAGAGGAGAAAATCCTCGACGGGTGGTAGTCTTTACACCGTTGCTGGTTCGGTAAAGACGGAGAACTGTCCACCAGCACCAGCCCAATTCAGCTTCTTACCGCGTACAGCAGTATTCTCCACGACAGTCGCAACCTCGATATCATCTTGAGTGCCCTGGCCTGTTTGGTAGGTTGCTGAAAAGCCCCACGACCAAGCGCGACCGTCGACGTCGATGGCAATTGAATGATCAGAGCCAGCCGCAACGACAGATGCTTTGATACCGGGAACAGGGGTCGGCTCAATCAAGATCCTCGGCCGTTCACGTTCGTCCTTCACGACAGCATCATCTGGAAGAGTATCGATCTTCAGGCCCGTCTGAAAACCATCCAGGCGTCCCCACACAAGACATTGACCATCCTTGGAAACAGCAAGCGAGTGATGGGCACCACCACATAGTTGAACGATATTCTTCCCAGAAAGTGAATCCACGACAGTTGGGTGAATAATGGCAGCCTCATCGTCGCCAGCTCCCTCACGAATACCCGTTTCACCAAAGCTATTCAAGCCCCATGCATAGACCTTCCCAGTCGTGTCGACGGCGAAGGAATGAAAGGCACCACAGCTGACATGGACGATATTCTTCGGTAGGCCAAATTCACGCGGCTGGAGGCCGTTCAACCTGTTGCGCTCGATGATGCGGCGGCCCAATTGGTTTTGTTGACCGGATCCCCAGGAGAATACCGCACCCTTCTCATCCAAAGCGAGGACGTGGTTATCACCACAGGCAAGGTGCTTAATCTTCTTGAGGGACGGAATCAGCGTGGGAGTCGGCTGAACTTTGTGTTCGGCATCAAAGCCTAGAATACCGTCGTTGCTCTGGAGAGACCCCGTTAGCGCATGGTTGAGGTGACATCCTTACAGGAGGGAGAGAGAAAAGAGCAGAAAAGAAATTAGCAGGAAGAAAACGCTGCGTGTTACTCACTCGGAAGGTTCCCCAGCCATAGACCTGGCCATCGTCAGTGAGAGCGAAGCTGGAGCTGTCACCGGCAGCGACTTCGACAAAGACGGTCTCAGGAGGAAATGCGTCGGACGAGACGGCAGTGGGAGTCGCTTCATAGGGATTGAGACCGCTGTCATCATCTGAGTCCGAGTCCGAGTCCGCGTCACTTTTGTTGTCATCCATGTCCTTATAACCACCCTCCCATGTAGTGTCGCGCCCAAGAGCACCTTGATCGTTGACGCCCCAAGTAAGGATTTTGTTGTCATGCGTAAGGGCGACGCAGTGCATGCCGCCGACAGCTACCTGCACCACACCGACCCGATCTGCTGGCAAGTGGGGATTGAGGCGCGGTCTCTTCACATCGACCGCATTCTTCGCCGCGCCGAGCCCCAGTTCACCAGAGCTACCTTCACCACAAACATAGACGTTCAATCGTGCAGTGGGCGCATGGTTGATGACCACCTTGGGTTTCGGCTTCTTGACCGGAGGCTGAGTAACACGGGCTTTTTTAGTCTTGAAATCGGGCTCCTTATCGACTTCTTCGGCCTTGCGCTTTTTGGTAGCAGCTGCCGCACTGGCACTAGTGGCCTTAGACTTGCGCGACTTCGCAGACGCATCAATGGCTTGAGATTGTTTCTTCGAGGTTGCTTTAACTTGAGAAGCCGCAGTAGCTTTCGCAGGATGGCCTTTGTTTGCAGCTTTCGCAACAGTAGCCTTCTTGGTAGTGGTGGTCTTGGTTGTGGACGTCGAAGGCTTTGTGGCGGCCTTGGACGCGCTTTTTTTGGGAGGCATTTTTTGGATTGGGTGAGTACCTTTTCAAGCGGAAAGGAAATTGGAATATTATACAGAGTGCAGTAGAGGTGATGACAGATTCACGAACGGAATAATTTGGGAGATGTAGGAAAGGAAGAAGAGAAAGATAGAGAAAGGGAGAAGCGTAGAAGAGTCGTAGAAGACTGGCGCGACAAAAGAGTAGAAGGCTGTCTTGGGATTCTTGACTAGTGCTTTTTTATTGTTGTTGTGTTGATCGGACTGTCATTGTTCAGGTATTTTCATTGGAGGGAACATGTCCGGGTACAGAGTATTCCGTGGTATTGTATCTAACTATTGATAGGCTGTAGCGCATACATTTTATCTAGGTACTATTTAAGGGACATTCCAATTTTCAAAGATCCATCTCAAAGCAGACAACAATACTCATGAATCGTGATTGAGAAACCAGAATAATAGGCAGGGCTATTCTATGGAGCTTCGATTTACTAGTCACTATTATTAATACTAGAAGTCAACTTTAGTAGATCAACTCACTTAGTCATGTGCTCAATACAGAAAGATACACTTTTGGATCTAGCCCAGAAACTGTTAATGCTGCTATAAGTTTTAAATCACACTATTTCTCTATGTTCCTATTATTATCTAGCAGGGTTATTCATGACTATCATTACCATCGTTAATGCCTGCCTTATAACAGTGCTAATTAGCGTCCACCTATGCAATGGTAAGCGCAGTAGGACACAGCCCCCCAGGGATCTCATGATGCTGCTCTGAGCTAACTCTCGCCCAGCATGGCTCTGGAGTCACTAAACTGAGGCAGGCGATTGAACTTCTAGCCACCAGATGGAGCAGCGCGAATTTTCCCGCACATTATGACGTTCTGCCCTAGCGGTACCCATTTTATCTCCCTTGGATTGAGGGCGGCATTCGGTTTGCCTTGTTCATCTCGCTTTGAGTCAGGACTCACTCCCACTCCGCCACGACCCAGGTATGTCGGAGCAACGGTGACAATAATAGAGTCAATGAATTCGGTGTATTCGGGATTCAAGAGTTCGCTCAGAACAGTCCCACCGCCTTCGATCATAAGACTCTTGATGCCCTCAGATGCCAATGCGCGTAGAATAGCTTCCCAGCGCAACCGCCAATTCTGGTTGTATTCGACTATACGCAGGAAGTCCCCTCCGTAGCCTTTCAACATCATCAACTTCTGCGGATGGATCTGGGCTCCGGGGGACACGATGACCCACGGAGCTTTCCCTTTGCCCTCGACTGCAGTGCGAAGCATCCTGCACTCAGGATGAACTGGCCATCGTCCCGTCGGATCGATAACCACAGGCCGCGGTTGCCACATTCTCCCAAGGCCCCCAAAACCGCCTGCACCTTCTAATCTGCAGTTTAGTCCCGGGTTGTCGGCTAAAACAGTGCCCACTCCGATGAGTATCGCGTCGTGGCGTGACCTTAAATAATGCGTCATCAGCTTGGCTTCTGGTCCCGAGAGCACTGTCTGCATTCCTGGGAGAAGAGATATCTTGGAATCCATTGATGATGCATATGACAAAGTGACATGGGGCAATTCGCGCTTCTCGTCGAGTCTCGGAAGGTAAGAGTCAAGGAATTCCAACGGAAATTGAGGAAACGACAATGTATCTGGCGGTAGAGGGGACGGGGCTGTTAAGTTCGGTGGCTTTCTAGCGATTTTTGGCTGATTTGTGTCGCTAGCAATCTGAGCTCTCACGATCCCGTGCCCTTTTTGATATGTGTAACCTTCGTGCGGCACAAGTTTGACTTCTGGATTTTGGATGCGCCATTTTGCTGAGACATTGCGGACATCCGTGACTGTACAAAATTTACCTCCAGCTTCAATCAATTTTTCAGGTTCCTCTTGAAATTTCGTGTAAATGGAAGAAGGCAGATAGCCCTTGACCGCCTCTTTTCGCGCAAACTCCATGAGCCCCGAGTTCCGCTTTACTTTGTCTATATAGTCAAGATCATGGGAGTGTACGTGGCTGCTACCGGGTGTCCGCGCAATAGTGACAGTGGAATAGGCGCCTTCAAACCGAACCACCTTGATTTGGAAATTGCACATGCCGCCTTCTCGAACGCGTTTCTTGCGGGGACGTTTGCCCTCCGGCAATGGACGTGTCTCTGATGTGCGATGGGTTGGACGTCGCAGACGGCACATGTAATAGTCTGTGGTGCAATGTCCCTCTTTACTAGAGTTTGACCGTTGCTTCACCCAGACGTTATCAATGAAAGGCCAGTATGTCTCGAACTCCTCAAGGCTGATTTCAATAGGTTCTTTGCACTCAAACATGACTTGTCGTATCCTTGCAAGATTGGGAGGATTGTCGATAAGGCTATAGCTTGACATTGTGTCTTGATTGGTACTGGAGGAAAGAGACACATCATTGTTATTCACTTGTTCAACGATATCACTTTGTGAAGCCACACCGGTTTCTGTACCACCAAACCCTGTTAATCCTGGTAATTTTCCTATGGAGTTCCCAGCGTGATAGTGCTGCGATTGACTTCCGGAAACCGTGTCATGGTGTGCAGTGCTGCTGTGGCCTTCTCTCTCCACGCTTCCAGTCAGTCCAGGTCCCAATCTAGGGATTGGCCGAGCCACATTTTCATTGTTGTGCGAAATTCCTGTTTTTTGATCAGATTGTATTGGCTTCGAGCTTGAGTCAGAGGCATCGGAGTGGTCATGATCCATGTCGAGTGAGCAGTGTCGAAGCCAGGTTGCAGCTCAATGCCGTAGCAAGTTACATGTACGGATGGCCCCACACCCAAAGCCGCAATCTTATCTGTTTATAGGCTTGTTAGTGCCATTAGTACTCAGTAAAGAGTATCTAGCTAGTATGAAGTACAGAATACAGATTAGGTAATACCTAGTATTACCAGAGTACAGATTTGTTCTTCTCTATTTTTGACGGACAGTATAAATGCACTTAGGATTTCGCATGTTCTTTCTCGGGCTCAGACGCGAGAACCGTCTTCGATTACTACAGAATACGTCTCAAGTTGCTTGAAAGAGTGATTGCCTGGTTAAGTAGGCCTTCGTAGATATCTGCACTTGGCTCCCGTCACTTTAAGAGCACGGGCTACTACTGAATTCCCCCGAGGGAATGAGATAGAAAGCTGAGGCGGGCAAGGGTGAGAGAAGAGAACGCGAAGAACAGAGGAAGTATGGATTGAGATACCTTATTTGATCTTTGACTCTTCGCCAAGCTTAGCACGATGCTGCTGCTACGCAGTAGCAACTAATGAAATTTAGATAATTGGTTCTTCACAAGCAGCGTTGTTTGATTTTGAATACCTGAATTCTAAGGTCTCAGACGCGGACTACCTAGCCAGAGACTCCAGATGATAACCCCTAGTAAGCCCCGATATCCGCTCCGGCGCGAGCAAGAGTCTCATAAACTCTCGGCGGTAATTTGTACTTAACCATACCGGAGAAAATCATCAGATCCTTGGCCATGACGAGTAAGTCATCAGCTAGGCCTTGCCTGGTCTCGTTCTCATACACTCCAGAACTCAACCTTGCCCTTTCATGGCCAATGCAAGTAATGCTCCACATTATCACGTGCCCGACGTTACGTGCAATGATTGGAGGGAAAGACGAGAAAGCTTGAGCAGCACTTCGAATGAAGGAAACCGAGCCCCGTGCACGCAAGGGTAAGATGTTCAGTTCATTAATAGCCTGAGGGAAAGTTAATCAGTGGGAGAGAACGAGAACGAGGTGTGAAAGTGAAAAGGGTAGAGACTTACATCCAGAGCCGGCGTCCATTGGCCTGCTTCAACTTCTCCCTTTGCCTCCATCATTCTGAGCAATAAACCGCAAGCATCACGATTGATCTGACGGATTCGCTGGTAATAAAGAGCGTTTGTATTGTAGAGGCCAATCATATTCTTCGCCAGAACCACCGGATCATCCACTGCTGTAAGACTTAGGCTACTTCCAGGTTCCGCGGCCTCTCCATGTTCATCACTGGCATGCTGTTGTAGATCAGTTCGTGGCCGCAACGGCTGCAGCTTCAAACCAGGGCCGCCTAACTCCATTGCTACAGCATCCGACAGTGCTCGGTTGATGATGTCGATTACGCGGTCATAATCCTCGGCAAGGTGATACAAGAGGACTGCATCCGTTACCAGCCCCTTGTCATCGGCGATCGCAGCAGCTTGCATTGTTATTGTTTTCAAAAATTCCTCTTGATCAACCAATTTGATCAAGCTCATGCGTTGCTCAATCAAGCCCTTAATTCGAGTCCCATCTGAGCGGATATCACCCAGTAACTTGGCAAAATCCCTCGTCTCTAGAACAAATTCCCGCAATGCTTCGTGGCACACGGATGCTTGAGATTTGCCCAGAGAACCAGGGAGGTCGGCGTTAAGACAGAGCAAGCAAAAGTAATCGATCGCTGCCTCAACATATCCTGTACGAAACTCCCTTGTGTACTGGGTGATGAGATGTCCGAAATTGATCTGGGGGTATTGTTTCACAGTAAATGATACTAATTTTGTCAGTAGACGTCACAGGGAAGTATGAAGCTTGGGAAGAAATGCTTACAGATTTCTTCCGCAGATGTGTAGAAGTCTGACACGCGTAGCAGACCATAGTACGCCAAGACGATTGCGAAATGCACCGCACTGACTGGCGCATAAGAGCCGAGGTATGAAACTGCTTGTTCGAACATCCCTCCTAAGATCTGCAGTAGAAAGAAAATGCCGTAACCACCGGATGCCTCCTGGCCCTTGCCAAATATGCGCTGACCGATCTCTGTGATATCCGTCTGGATATCCTCGAGGCCAAAAACATCCCCAGCGATTTCTTCGGCACGGTCGTCTTCTCTGGCCAGACTGAATTGAAGCCACATCCAATCTTCGACACTCTGATTTATACCCTCCAAGCGCCTGCGGGCGAGGTCGCACCGGCCAATGATCTTGTAACAAGCCATGCGATACGGATCAACGGTGTTATCAGGGGCATTGCGTGAACGCTGTTGGTATTCACCATTAATCTTTTGCTGCAAATCTCGCGGTAGCCGTCTCTTTTGTGCATAAGTCGTCATATATGTCACGAACTTGTGATCAAGGGACCGGAAGCCAGGATCTTGGCTAACATATTCAGCCGCCTCGGTGATGAATCCGCACCGAAGAAGATAGAAAATCAAAATCCAGCAATAATCCTGCCCGACCATCTGTAGCTCCGTTCCGTCTGGTGCAAGATCTTTCCTTGCCGCTCTCAAGCGAATATAGGCTCGAATTTTGTTGATAACCGTCGGAATCCCTCCAAGTTGCGCTTCTCTAGGATTCTTTGCGATCATACTCTCGACTTCGTTGTAAAATACTTTCTCTAGGAAGGAACGAGAGCCCTCGACTATGCGTTTTTTGAGGTTCGTTGCCCGGCGTGAGTTCGGTATCTCGTCCAGATAATCCTCAGAGAACTGTCGCTCTCTCACCGTACTAGGATCCGAGAGACTGGTGGTTCTCGGGGGCTCTTTGACGATACTGATCAAAGCTCGGTACGCATCAAAAAGCTGGCAAGGTACCTAATGAACTTAGTCAACCTTGGGATCATGGCTGTATCACCGTAACTTACATCACCACCAGCATGTCGCTCCACTTCAGCGAATTCATGAAGAAGCGGAAACACTTGTCCTTGTATCCGGGCGGAATTTAACAGCTGAACTTTTTCCGCGTAATGGCCCATTTTTTCGCGTAAAAATCGAAGATCTGGGGAGTGAGTTCCGGATGCATCGCCGCTTTCCAGGGGATCCTCGAAAAGCTGATGACTTGCTCTACCAGTACCGGGGTTACCTATGACTGACTTTCCCAGGCCGGATCGTCCGAAAACACTCCGGCGGGAGACGCCCGCAGCTTCGTGGGAGGGCAAAGAACCAGTTAGTCTAGAAGGTCTGGTTGAGCGACCGAATGAATTTCTCACGTCGCCAACAGTCCCATCCTTATGTGCCAGTCCAAAGTGCTGAAAGATTCGCTGGCGCTGATCCTCCCAGTCTAAATCCACTTTCTCCTCCAGGAATGTATCAAAGTCTCTCTGAGCTCGAGCAAGACTTTCGGCAATCATCACTTTACGCCCACGCTGTTGTATGCTTCTCAAGAATTTCTGGTTATCAGTGTCGAAAACCTCCTGTTCCTTTGGAGGGAAACCTATGGAAGCCTGGGGATCTAGTGCTTTGAGGTCCCGTAAAGCATGTCCAGGCGACACACCCGAGGCGGCAAGAAGATAGTGGCTATAGAAGATAGAGATTAGCGGAATCATCCAACTCATGAGCCAACGCCAGGCTAAGGCAAAGCTTACGCTTTACTGGTCGAACCAGGGTGCAGGCGGTCGCTCAACCCTCTACTGCCGAGCTCTCTTGCTTTCCTCCGAATATCATCAAGGCCAAGTTGAAGGCTGGGTAAGTCTTCGAAATTGCTGCCTTGGCCAACTGACGCAATCGGTCTCTTTTTGCCGCGCTCTAGAAGGCTGTTGAAGAATGCGGGCTGAGTGGTTTGGCCAGAAGGTCGTGAGGATTGTCCCAAACTCATCTGTGCTTGATCTTGTCCAAAGATCGAGGACTGAAGGGGCTGCTGCTGGGTTGGCGGCTGATTACCAAAGAGCGAAGCATTCGGTGCAGCTTGAGTTGTGGAAGGAGTCCCAAAAATACTCGTTGAATTGACAGCTGAAGCTGAGCTCGTCGGTTGAGTTGCCGCTCCTAGGCCACCAGCCCCGAATAAGGAGCCAGGGTTTGTTGAAGACATCGAAGCAGTGTGCCGCGTTGGACTTGGTCTCGGATACGCGACGGTGAATGAGCTTGATATTTTCGACAAAAAGAGACTGAGCCACAAGCTGTGGTCATTCAATTTGGGCGATGTTACCAAGCGTTGGAGCAGTTGATTGGAAATTTATATGAACGTGGGAAGCTCGCAGACTCATAAGAATGTGTGAAACAGAAGTAGATGAAAAGGAACAACGTAAATGAAAAGAAGCTAGCAGAATAAGACCTTACAACTGCTTGCTGGTCTTTCCAACTGCTGGAACAGTCTGTGTTTACCAACTGTACAAAATATTGTAGTAACCATATAGTGAAAACGGCTTATTTGCTGCGCAGCAAGCCATATCGGAATTAATGTTTCACCGGTTGCTTAGATTTGAACCTTATAATAATACCCTTTATCTAGTAGATACTCTTGTCAACACTATGAGATTTACACAGAATAATTAAGGGAAACAGTGCTCCGTATTTCTTCATCCTCTTGAATACCCACGCGCAAAGTGCTACGCTTGGATAGGTGGTTTAATTAAGTGAACACTTAAGTGGTCAGCCTTCAAGATGCCTGTTTTCCAGGCAAAACCATTCCGGCGTGCGACAACAGCCTCATCATCGCTGGGAGAACGGATCGGCGCCGCATATAGAGGAAGCCTACCGAAGCATCCTTTTCTACTCTTTGGTCTTCCATTTATCATGATCATTGTTGCGGGTTCTTTCGCCTTAACTCCAGCCGCTGCTCTAAGATATGAAAGATATGACCGAAAAGTGAAGCAACTCACACAAGAGGAAGCTATGGAATTGGGGCTCAAAGGCGGAGATGGTGAAGAGGGAATTCGGAGAAATCCACGCAGAAGAGTTCTTGGAGATGAAAGGGAGGAATATTATGTGAGTTGACCTAATTCGGATGAGCTTGTTCCAAGACTATTATTGACACCTGCTCAAGCGGCTCATGGCCAAAGACCTGGATAATTGGGAACAAAAACGAGTCCAGAGGTTTAAGGGTGAACCTGACGGGAAACTTTAAGCTTCTTAATAGCTGAACAACGCCTTCTGAATGACAGGCGCTACTCTTACTGGTTTCCAGCGGCATATCCTCTTTGACTACCAGGCTTATGTTGGCTGTGCCAGACATAAGGGAACCACTTTTGATGATTAACATGAATTTAAACCCCAATTTTCATCTTAGCGAGAGGCCTTCTATTTTTTCTCAACTCTCGCATGGGGGATATGTCTAAAGCTAAGCCATTGAAGTATATTTTTCCATCTTAAACTCAAGCTGAGCAAGCTAATTTGCCTTAGTTGCCATGGTGTCGTTTAGACCTCCATTTCATGCCTAGTTTCTTTGAATCATGTGTAACAAAGTGCTTATTATAATATTCCACTATTGCACGATAAATAGAGCGGTATTCTTCACTAATATACTCAAGTGATAGTGTGCACGGAGGCGCAGAAATCCGCATGATTTGGATTAGACATGTAATTACTTTATATACTAGGATGTCAGGCACTGCTAGATGGTAGGTTATTATTCATTACTTAGGACTTCTGAGCATCACTCAGACAGTCAGATTAGACTAGTAAATGAGACTAATCAATAAACATATAAAGATATTAACCTGGCAGGTGACTACTCTGGTGCTGAACTGACATGCATCCTGGGCTGACTACTACCAGAGTAGTACTAACTTATATTATTCCATACCTGCCATTTTATCCCGCATAATCAGAATGCAGTACAAATCTACCATACCCTCAAAACTGTAGTAGTAATATACTTTGTCAGATACTGCTTGTGTCATGGCTCCGTCGCTGAATAACAATAACATGATTCTCAGCTGTTCTGCTTTCTGATTTAGAAGCCCCTTTTGAGAGCCTGTAATGCCTTGCCAGAGTTGCCACATGCATACTTCCAGGTTTCTGAGGGGCTCGTCGAAGATCCAGAACGGCCGTTCAGTCTCACTGCATGGATTTCTGCATATTTTGCCGCTTGACGACTGTCCCCACCCATAACGTCATACCAAGGGAACATCTTTTCTCTGCCGAGTTTCTCCATTCGCTATTTCCATGTTGGTCTGTTGTTCACCTCCTTATGCCAGTTGTATTCATGATGGTAAACTGGTGTTAATCGACTAAGACCAATTCTTTTTCTGCACGCATTTCCGCCTTAGCTGCCGCATTATTAGAGACTTATGTGCCGGAGTCTGGTGTCTCGTCACGTATTGATTTCACTCTTGCGAGTCTTATAATCAGGTCAAACAAGCGTATGGCTAGACCCCAATCTGCCCATCTCGAAGCGCCCCCCAATCCCGTTTCTCCAAATCTCGACGACGAAATCTTTTGATAATCTATGAGGGACATTTTCTTTGGATTTTAATTCATCACATTTGCCCCCTCCGGTGTTGCTCTGCTCCCGTCTCACTCAGTACCTCTCCTGAACACAACGCTTCTTGATATCAACACTTCTGTGGCGCCGAATTCGAACAAGCGTTACTTCGCTCCTGAACCTGCCGTCATTCATCGAGATTCGGGCCTGAGGAAATAATGATTCGTGCCCAGATCGAATACTCAAATCAACATTGATATCATTCTGAAAAGGAACTTGTCCTTGCGGAAGCCGGTGTCTTGCTTATCGCGGCATTTCGAGATGGCACAAGGGCCTCGTGCTTAATTGTGGGACTGCCGGAATTCAGAGATTAACCAACAGGCATTCTAGCTTTGGCAATCAACATGTCCACCACGACTGACCAGAGACAATCGCCTTCGTCTCCGTGGACTCAGGAGTCACAAAGCCTGCAGTTAAATGGCCTCTCAAGTCCAGCGTCTCTCTTGTCACTGCGAGATACCAATTCGTCTCCTACCAAAAGTGGCGACGGCTTGCAAAATGCCTTTTTGGAGCAACCGAGCCCTAGCTATTTCACCATCAAGGTTGAGGACTCGAGTGACAGAACGGTTGCGAGAGAAGCCACCAATGCCAAGAATCATCGAAATTCATCCTCACGGACCCAAAATTCGCACTTGAGCCGCAATGCGGAATTAATTGACCCAGAAATTGCGGGAGGCTCGGTAGATCTGTCTCAGGCTCGCTCTGAGGATGACGCGGGTTTGCATAGAATGTCATTGAGGAGGGATTTGAAACAAGAGAATTCAGTGGCCACTTATAACAACGCTTCCTCGGGGAACCTGGCCCCGACTGCTGTCAATATCATGTCATGTGAGCGTTGCGCACAATTACTGGAGACTTGCGGAAACGATGTTTTATTACTAGATGTGCGGCCTTATGCACATTATACCAGGGGACACATCAAAGGATCACTAAACCTCTGTATCCCTACAACACTCCTCAAACGGACTTCCTTTGGCACGCAGAAGTTGGCCAACACCTTCACGAGCGACATTGACCGGAGATCGTTCGCGAGATGGAAACAATGCCGCTACATCATCGTTTACGACGCTGCTACACTTGACATGAAAGATGCGGCGCCAATGCTCAATGTGTTGAACAAGTTTGCAGCTGAGGGATGGAACGGCGAAGGTTCGATCCTTCGGGGTGGGTTCAAGGTCTTCTCCAATCAGTTTACTGCGCTTGTTCAGCAGCCTCAATCATCCACCCCCGGACTATCTTCAAGGAGGCTTAACTCGATGCAGATTAGCCTTCCATCTTTTGCACCTATTGCTGGTGGCTGTGCTTTGCCGGAGTCTTCCTCTGCCGCCATTCCCTTCTTTGGGAATATTCGCCAGAATATGGATCTTATGGGTGGTGTTGGTCAGATTCCGCTCCAGCTTCCACAAAATTTCACAGACTCCAAAAGACGGTTGCTTCCACGATGGCTCCGTGACGCTTCCGACATTGAAGATGGGGGTCAGAAGGTTTCAGAGAAGTTCCTGGAGCTCGAGAAAAAGGAATTAGACCGGATGAAACAAGCTCTGTCGTATGAAATGACCGGAGTTTCTACGTCCGCGGAAGCTCCATCGAAGAAGTATCGGGTTGCCGGGATCGAGAAGGGCAATAAGAACAGATATAATGATATATATCCCTTCGATCATTCCAGGGTTCGATTGCAGGATGTCCCGTCGGGAGGTTGTGATTATGTGAACGCGAATTACATGAAGGCTGAATACAGCAATAAGCGCTATATAGCAACGCAAGCTCCCGTACCCGAAACATTTGATGTGAGTTCATCTTTCGATTGCGTCCTTCCTATTCTCTACACGTTCGAGTGGAGATCGCCCACGGTAAGATTGAGACAAGCAGGCTGATGGAGACATAGGACTTTTGGCGTGTAATCTGGGAGCAAGACGTTCGACTCGTCGTTTCTCTCACGGCAGAAATTGAAAGAGGCCAAGTTAAATGTCACCGGTATTGGGAGTCAGGGAATTATGGGCCGTTCCGAGTCAATAACTTTTCTGAGCGACGCATCCCTATGAGAGCGTCAGGGTCCCACCAGGACCGGCGTCAGTCGACCAAGTCATTGTCGGATTCCAGCGAGGAGCCCAGCGATCCATGCATTATCGTCAGACATTTTGGCTTGTCACACTCGGCTTTTCCGTTTCAACCACTGCGAGAAGTTACCCAGCTGCAATATCCTTATTGGCCGGACTTTGGTACTACCTCACAACCATCACATCTCCTTCAGCTGGTCGATGAATGCAACGCAGTCATACGGGCAACAAGCAATACGTGCTTTGATAATCGCGAGGCAATGCCAACCGAACATCGACCTGTATTGGTGCATTGCAGTGCGGGATGCGGCCGTACTGGTACCTTCTGTACAGTGGATAGTGTTCTGGACATGCTGAAACGGCAGCGCACTGCACGAAAGACCGAATCACAAGAAATCAGTGGACTCCCTGATACTGGGTGGATTTATAACGATAACCTGGACCTTATTGCAAAGACAGTCGCCGACTTTCGAACTCAGCGACCTAGCATGATACAAAATTTGAGCCAGTTTGTCTTATGCTATGAAAGTGTATTAGAGTGGATGATCGTTCAAATGGACGAAGGATGTGAAAATCCTTGACTCAAGCGCCTTCCATTGCTATAACTGGCATCTGCGACAAGCATTGAAGCTACTTGGCTCTACGAGTGACTGAGATAGTTATCTCATTCACAATTTCTGTCCACACCTGTTCTTCTATATACGCTACTTGGATCTTAGAAAGTCATGTCTGATGCAGTGCAAGCAGAGGAGCATATTTTCATTTGGATTCTTTCTCGTTTCCATAATCTCGTCTACCGGTCGTTCTCAGGCAGAGAATGGGTTGGCTTGCATATATTTAGAGATATCAGCGGGCATTTGTATGGATTGTGCTCTGGTCTCTGGTAGGAGTCGCAATGAAGATAACCCAAATAAAAGAAATGGATTTTAAGGCTTTAGTTCTCGGTAGACAATAAAAGGAGCATTAAGCCAACTCACTGCACATATCACTATATCCCCAGGGCTCTGATGCCTAAAGTGCTGCCTGAGGACGACTGCGTATGGAATTCTTAAAGATTCACAACCAGGCAACAATGGCGGGCGGTGATACTAAGATCTATGGGATCAAGGCAGCCCCCACCCAGAGCCTCTCGTTTTCCGAGACCTATAAATGATATGGTAGTGATGCAAGGCTGATGAACTATGATTTCATTTTGAACGAGACAATTGCTGGCAGCTTCCTCCTCCTTCTGTCACAGTCGTTCCATCTAAACGCCAAGCTCTGAGCCATGTTGCTCGATCTTCCACCAGAGCTAATCCAGCTTGTCCTTCAATGTTCGACTACGCCTTCCTTTCTACAGGCGGCATTGTCCTGTCGAGCCCTGCATGAGATCGCATCCAGTAGCCGGGAAGTGATTTTGCATCATCTGCATAAAACACCCGGCTTGAACGTAGACACAGGCAGTCTCAAGACAAGGCAACTTTTTCAGCTGCTCATGAAGCGCTCGTTCCAGCAGCTATATGGTGCACAGTTTTCCGCGAAATGTACAACATTCTGTTTTGAAGATTTTGCGCTCGATGCCCGAGCATCTTCGCTAGCTTCTCATGGTGAGCGAGACATCGCTCTCGTTCTGAAAGGTCGGCAAGATGTTTATGTTTTCCAGGCCAAGGACGGGAAGCTGCACCTGAAGGCCCAGCTGAGATCACCTGAGGATCAGCCAGGAAGGATAGAGGTGCTCAAAACAGCATTTGACGGAGAAGGAGGCGTTAACGTTCTTCATCATCTGGTACCAGCGATAAACGAAGACGGCTTTGGCGCCACACACCCGTTCGTAAGACATGCGATACGGTCTGGTCCTCGTGTTAGCGTCTATATGGCGCGACACTCGCTTCAGACACTCAATGAGCCTATTCGTATGTGTGCCTTTCCAGATCATGCTGAGTATGAACCTCTGGCTCTTGCTGCTGCCGGAGAGAGCACCTTTGCAATCTCTTGGCAGCACGTCCGTGAAAGCGACGATTATGAGGTTGTTCTGTACAACTCTCCGAAACAGTCGAGCAGCAACACTCCTGAGGTAATCGGTACGTTACGCTTCTTTGCTGTCCAGGTTCACCCAGTGCTCCAATATAAGGACAGTCTTGTCATTGGTCATCATCTGATGCAAGTATAGATTGCAATTACAATGCTATCACACTTATCGACGGGAATAGACAGCGACAGAGTAGCGACAGGTATCGTCAAGCGGGTCTGTCCAGCCCTTATGATAACGGTCCTGCCATCGACATTTCCTTCAATGACAGATCAAGCCAGTTGCTCTATTATCACCGCGCTCAAACGTTATATGGTTCCTTTCAAAGAATTCAGAATATAAATGCGCAACACCTCGTGGACCCACAGCCAACTCTATATCAGAATGCGTGCATGGTGCAATTCTCGGACACTTTGAGCCTTCTCTTTTCAATTGCAATACCCTTCTTCGGTACCCATGCGACGCGGAATGAGAATAATATTGAAATGTGCCATTGGCAGTACCTTGCCTTCGGTATAGCGACCCATCGGAAGGAGAACTGGACTGTCGCGTGCCTATTGAAATCCGAAGCTCGATGTCAAGCTCAGAACTGTGGGCATGTCTTAAACCTTGACCGTGGGCGACGATTCTCGCAATGGACAATAGTAGCTCGGCTATGGGGATTTCAGAATCCGGCAAATTCTCTTGGATGTAAAATTGCCGCGTCGGATCGTGGTACTCGCCTTGCTGTTGCAAATTGGAACGTGATTTATGTGTGGGCTCTTGAGCCAAATGCACTTATCGAAGAAAATGCGAATGGATTTTACCCTCCATCCTTTCGATCAACAAGTTCAGGGATGATCGAACTACGACCGATTGCTCTCCCGCTGGATGCCGTGTGCTTCAAGCTCTGCTTCACGCATCAAGAAGATGAACTGATAGCTATTACCGATCGGGGCGTGATGTATTGGGACCTTGGCCCTTTGGGTAAAGGGCAGAGAATCACTCAACGGCTGCCTCTCTAAGACGGGAGAAGATTGAAGTGAAAAAAATAAGCGGAGGCCTGAAATCTTGTTTACTGAAGTGAACATGCGAGGGAGGTGACTTTGATACCCCGGGATTTCTCTTTTACAGGGCTATATATAGTTTATGGCTAGTTGCCTTTAGAACGAGATGACCATGAGCGTGGAAATCCAGACCAGTAGACACCTACGGGATCATCTACTCTGAGAGATTTCGATAAATTCAGAGATAGAAAATGCCATCATGCATAATGATATTGGCTCTCCATCTCCTTGTCGAAAAGGGCAGGATCGAATGTAGCGTGCCGTTGATTAGTGCAAGTAGAAGTAGAGAACGTTCGGCATGGGATAACGCTATGGTGCTGGAATGGTCAGATACAAATTGACGCTGGTCTACAGCAGACGAGTTCCTGCCACTCGATAGCTTTACCGATCTTCACCTCCGTGTTCTTTTCAAAGTAACCACTCGCAGCGATGAGAATGAGACAATGCTCTCCATGAAAGATGGATGGAATAGAATAAAGAACAATCACCAAGGGGATGTCCCGAGAATGCGGCATCTACGTCTAAATGTTAAACGGAGGAAGTACAATCCCCACATCGGCTGGGGCTTCCTTGGATGCCCGAGGGCCATATTGGGAAGAGAGGCGTAGACAGAAAATGATGAACATGCGGATCTGCGTCGTAAGACTTGAAGACACTACGCCTCCTGTCCACGAAGCCATAGATGGAGGACTGACTGGTATACATGGACAGATCAAATGAGAAATTCATTGTCCTTCAGCGCTACCTGACATGGCCAAAAATGTAATAATGAGGAGGACCCACCAATATCTAAGCAGATGTGAGGTATTGTCAGAATAAAGCCTTTCTTTTGCTGACAGGAGACGCCATAGAAGAATCCGAGGGAGGAGACCGAGCACTTACTTCTGGAAAAAGGTCTTCTCAACGACCTCTTCTGGACTCTTCCCATCTGGGCCGACCACAACAGGCCGATTGAGATGCGGACGCGGACCGTCATCGCTGGACAGGAGTTCTATGTTCAAGCCCGCTGAGCTGGATGTTGCCGCAGATGATGAAGACGCCGCCAATGAAACGTGGTAGACCTCTCCTGAGGGTCCAAGATGAAGTCGCAGAGTTGGCTTTTGAGCCTCACTCTCTGCAAGCAAAGAGAGCGACGTAAGAGAGCCTACCCATTGTTTTGGGTTGGTTGGCGTGGAGGTGAAGAGACCCACGCGGACGAGATCTTGGGCATCCGCTTCTAAACCACGGCGGCCTTCGAGCTCCGCAATCCTTGGTGGAGAGTAGACTACCACATCTGACGTTAAAGATGCAGGATCGTACGAGACGCGCGCGAGCACCGAGGGTTGAGACGAGGCTACCGGCCAATACAGGATGTCGGCTGACCCAGCTTGAGCAAAGGACGGAGAAGCGGCGAAAGCCCGAGAGAGCAGGGAAAGCAATGGGAGGATGACCTGGGAGAAGTGCATGTTGAAAGATGGCGGTAAGGGAGAGGAATATGAAATGTTGGTCGGATTTGCAGTGAAAACAGAGAATATTGAGGTGAAGCAGATCTATTTATCGCATCATCTGAGGGTGCATCGAGGAGGATTCACTAATGCAGACAAGCATAAAATGAGCATCGAGCGTGATAGATCAAGTAGGGAAGGAATCTAATGATGTGAAATTTTAGCTGCATGCATACTCACTATAAATTCTGGAAAGCCAGTATGCGTACCAGTGCTCCTATTCCTGTGCAATGGCGGTGGTCAACAGGGGAGTTATGGGATGTCGTTAACCTCGCATTATGTTATGAACTTCTAGAGAGGATGTAATTTAGCGCACTAGAGGTACCAAAATAGGGCGGGCCACATGCTTGGTACTAAGCTACTATCATTGTTAAGGTATTATTACTATTTTTCATCGTGATTATGATTATAATTCCCTTTAATAATAATATATTTCCAAAAAATGATTACAACAAATACTTGGACTAGCATTTGGACTGATTGTGACCATCTACCTTTTCAACGTACTCTCCAGGTATCAATAATTACGGCCTACCCATAGAGTTATCAGAATTCATTATATATGCGCCATCGAAGGACGCTAGAGAGACATAGAAATAACTCTATCTATCCTGCTCATGTCATGAAGAAGCCAATCTGCCATTGTGCTTCTAGATAATTTCTTCCGTTGCATGAAACATGACCACAGTTGATATTTATAGGCGAAAGGTTGATTGATCAGTTGATTTCAGCATCTTTATCTCCTTCTTTCTTCCCCCTGCTCAGCTTAGTTGTTCTTAGTAGAAGCGTTCGAAGCATCCATACTTCTACTGTTATAGACACATGCTTAGATGGCTCAGAGGGGTAAGTTAATGATCGACGTCCCCACTACCCCGTTCTGATCAACAACCACCAACGCGGAGCTCAGCCCTCCGCAACACTCCAGTTAGATATAGCTCAGCCAGGCCTGACAGCTTGGGCGGGCAACCTCCCAAAATCATAGCCTGGCTGCGGGTTGCTTATGAGTTCTGGTAACATTCTACCCAGTATGGCTCCGCTGCCGTATCGTTCGTCTAGACAAATTTCTCGACAGGCTTCAAGGGACACTCGAGACGAGATTCAGGTCCACCAGGATCATTACATCGGAATAGATGTCGGTACCGGTAGTGCTCGCGCTTGTATTATTGATGCAAAAGGCGATATTGTTGGATTAGCTTCCGAGAATATCGGTCTCTGGCAGCCCCAACAGGGATACTATGTACGTCCGTCTGCTTAGGCTTCTTGACTGTTGCCTGACAATTCGTCAAAGGAACAATCCACGAACGATATCTGGCGATGTATATGTCTGTCCGTTCAGCGCGCTATTAGCCAGCATAACATCGACCCCACTACTATCCGGGGCATTGGGTTCGACGCAACGTGCTCGCTGGCCGTATTCTCCACGGTTACAGACGAGCCCGTATCCGTCACCGGGCCGAACTTCGATTCTGACCGCAATGTAATTCTTTGGCTGGACCATCGGCCAGTGGAAGAGACGGAAAAGATCAATGCTACCAAGCATAACTTGCTGCGATATGTCGGAGGAAAGATGTCGATCGAGATGGAAATTCCCAAGGTCCTGTGGCTGAAGAACAATATGCCGAAGGAACTCTTTGACCAGTGCAAATTCTACGACCTGGCCGATGCTCTGACGCATATTGCTACTGGTAATGAAAAGCGAAGCTTCTGTAGCGTGGTCTGCAAGCAAGGGTACGTGCCCGTTGGTGTCGACGGAAGCGTGAAGGGTTGGCAGGAGAATTTTCTCACCGAAATTGGCCTGGAGGATCTTATGGAAGACAATTTCAAGCGCATGGGAGGTGTCGATGGGGTGGTGAGCCTTTTCATTTCTCTCCTCTCATCTCAAGAAAAACGATCTACTTGCAGCGTTGTTGAAGGCTGACTTGTTTCAGAATGGTGATTACCTCAGTGCGGGTGAATTGGTCGGAACATTGTGCGAAAAAGCAGCGTCCGAGCTGGGGCTGCCGGCTGGTATCGCCATCGGCAGTGGTGTTATTGATGCATACGCTGGTTGGATAGGCACTGTTGGCGCCAAAGTCGATCTGGAGGACGAACTGCTGAGCTCTGAAGTTGCTAAGAACGACAAGACACAGGCTTTCTCACGCTTGGCTGCTGTCGCGGGCACCTCAACTTGCCATATCGCCATGTCGCCGAACCCTGTATTTGTTCCTGGCGTCTGGGGACCGTACCGTGACACGATCCAGCCTGGGTATTGGATGGCGGAAGGTGGACAGTCTGCCACTGGTGAGTTGCTCAAGTATGTGATCGAGACTCACCCAGCTTTCAACCAGGCGACCTCAATTGCCGAGTCGTACAATACCAATATCTACGAATATTTGAACGAACATTTGAAAGAGATGGCCGACGAACAGAAGGCCCCCAGCGTCTCTTACCTGGGTCGCCATGTGTTCTTCTATGGCGATCTCTGGGGTAACCGGTCCCCCATCGCAGACCCCAACATGAAGGGTTCTATTGTCGGCATGGCCAATGACAAAACTGTCGACGGCCTTGCGATCTATTACTATGCAACCCTTGAGTTCATTGCACTGCAAACGAGGCAGATCGTCGAGGCGAT